CGGGGGTTGGGAAACCCTGTCCTAGAATATCTAGAGAGAGAATCAATTTCTCTTCTAGGTCCAAACTGCTCTGCACTTTTGCATGGACCTTCTATATCTATACAGTGCCGCAGAGGTGCAGACTCCACTCCTATGTTGATGCAGCTTTTCTCTATCTCTTATGAGATAGGGCAGTGATGGCTAACCTTTTTGTCTTCGCGTGCCAAAAGTACGTGCATGTGCACATGTGCCTGCGTCCATAATGCAATGCACATGCGTGCTCCCCCGACCCCTACGCATGTGCGCGTGACCCCCTGTACTCCCCATCCCCCTGCGCATGCGTGCATGACCCCCGTACTCCCTCTGTCCTCCTGTGCATGCATCTCCTGCATGCGCCCCACCCGCCCACATACCCAACAATCAGCTGGCTGGTGGGAGGCGTGTGCACATGCTCAGTGGAACTGAGTTGGGGCGACAGCTCACATGCCACTTCCGGCACATTTGCCATAGTTTCGCCATCACGGAGATAGGATGATTTGTATTGGTAGCACACTGTTTCTTCAGGAGGACAGGATTAACAGCTAAAGGCTGACCAGTGAATATTTCTGGTCTTAGGGCAGCTGCCAGTCAAAACCACACTGCTAAGCACTCAGCTAAGTGGAGCAACGATTCATACAGGACACAGCATTACCAACAAAGATATCTGAAAAGTACTTATTGGCTACAATTTCTGTATTATATACAATATGTTATATGATCCAATAAATTCGAACTAATTTGGAACCAAAAAAAAAAAACAACAGTTTGATCCAGTGATTAAAGCTCCAGACTAGAAACTGGGAGACTGTGATTCCAGTCCTGCCTAAAGCATAAAAATAGAGGAAAACAAGAGAAGGGAGGAATATTTGTTCACAACCCAGAGCTTTATTATTCTAAAAATAATAAAGGCAGAATAAAAAGTCTAAAATAAAAAAAATATGTAATATCCAATTAATTCAGTGAGGCTTTCTCCCAAATCAATCAATCTTTCTATCTATCTATCCATCCATCCATCAAATTTCAGTTTTATTCATTCGGGAATTATCTATCAAATTACTTCACATTTCACACTTTTCAGGGAAAAAGCTGAAAAATGCCTTTCATTTAAACTTTTTACAATATAAAAGCAATTAGAAGGGACAACATAGAGGCAATACAAAAGAAAATTGGGGATTAAAAGACATCATTTTTTTCCTTGTAGGCCTTCAAAAATGCTTAAGGGGAAATTGTTTCTGCGTTGCCCTAAAGTACTTAGAAAAATTAAATACAGCCTGAATAGAAATAAAAATTGGATGCAAAAGATATAGGCAACCCAAGAATGGGAGAGTTGATTCTCAGAACAAGATGACGAAATGATTAGTGTAACTATCACATTACTACTTCTATACTCGTGGTTCTTCTACTGGTCTGATCAGTACCCAAACTGGGAATCACTTAGGAGCGCTAAACAATATCCCTGAAAAAAGACAACAAACCTCTTCATCATTGTTCTCAAGAAATATGCATCCACATGCTCAAGGGGCCACCAAGAATCAACTTGACTTAGGGCTTTCAGTATTGTTTCCCAAAAAAGTCTGGAAAGGTTTCCTTCATGCTCAGTCCAAGCCAAGCCAAGTCATTTATATATTTCAACACCTTGATGAGGCCTCCTCAAGCATTGTGTAGATTTCAAACTGGCGTTAACCTCTGCTAAAAAGCCTAAGTGTACATGAAGCCTAATAGATTGGACTGCAGCCAATAAGACCATTTTTGAGGAATCCTTGGTGCTCTCCAAGCTTGGTTGGAAATCCTGGCAGGGCAAGCCACTATATTGTAGAGAGCAAAGCCCACCCCCCAGCCCCCACTACTCAGATAGTGGAATGACTGCAAACAAACAAGAGGCTCAGAGAGCACCAGGAACTCCACCGTTCAACCCTAAACTACGTATATCTTCTATTAAAACCATTCTTTTCTGGGAAATATGACAAATGCACCATATGTTGCTTCAAGACTCAGGATGTTGCTCCTAAAGGGCTTTAGTTCAGCCTTCTGTGAAAAGTCACAGAAAGAATACTGCTCTTTTGCTTATTAATGCTTTTGGTGGAGAGAGATATTTCTAAGCAGAAGATAACTTTATCTGGATTTGTTGTAATGTTCCACACACGAGGCAGCATACTTACACAAGAAAAATGCTATCTAAATGCAGGCATATATTCTGTAAACATTCTGAGGCGAGTTGCCTGTTGTCACTACACATTTGAGCCCAACATTTCCATTGCTATGCAAGGCAGTTGTTGAGTTTTATCCCATTTTACTACCTTTTTGGCCACAGTTATTAAGCAAATGACTGTTGTTAAGTGAATCGTACAACTGTTAACCAAATCTGGCTTCCTTCATTGACTTTGGCTTGTCGGAAGCTGGCTGGGAAATTTAGAAATAGTGATCACATGACCCTGGGGACAATGGAACTGTCATAAATACATGCAAAATGGCCAAATTTTGATCATGTGACCATGGGGATGCTGTTAACAGTCCCCAAGTATGAAAACCAGTCATCCAGTCACTCCCCACCCTCCACAATGGATTTGTTGCACAATACTTAAGAAAACTTCACACATCAAATACCAAGCACTAACAGAGGGCCACTGATAAGAGGGAGACCTTTTGAGCTGCCCACTTTATTCAAATAAGCACTCTGAAGGGTAACCTCCAGAAATGCTATTGCTCATGCACCCAGAAGACCCATTTCAACATTCCAGCAGCTGCAGGTCAGAAGCATTCAGAATATTTATGGCATTACTAAATTAACAAGTTCTTCCAGATTTGACACCCCTCATGTAATCCAGCCAGCAACAGCACGTTACATGCAGGAATGCTGGTATGCACATTTTCACCATGGTGCAGTAACCCGTAATGCGCAAGAGGGAGCCATACGCTAGAGAGAACTGTGATCTGTGATTGACCACTACTCCTCTGCACATTTGGATAAACATCTGTCACTCCTCCTCAGGAATCTTTGCTGGCTGATGAAGATGCAGTTGTGGTACAACGATTGCTGCAATTAATGCAACCACTTGCGCATCGCAACGAGAAGTGCACATTTTTTTAAAGTCGACCCCACTTCATTGGTTTCAAAAAGCCAACTTTTGGACTTGAAAGTTGCTCTCCCCACAGCACCGTGGCTGAAGAAATCAGGATTGGCATGCCAGGGCACTGTTATTTCGGCTGGGTTCTTCAAACCTGGTTTTCAAGAAGGAGCCCTTTCCTCCGCTTCAGAAACTTCTCTACTCACTTCCTACCCCTTGCGCAGGACGAAGCCACGGGCGTTTTAGGGAAGCAGAAATTACCGTTATGGCTTGACCACATGGTCTGCAAAAGGGGCAGAAGGAACAAGGGCCAAAGGGGTAGAGGGCCAGGTCTTGAGGGAGGCAAGGCTGCCTTATTCTTCCAAACTGCTACTTAGGCCAGAGGCCTCCAATCTTGGCAACTTTAACCCTGGGGGACTTCAACTCCCAGAATTCCCCAGCCAGCAAAGCTGGCTGGGGAATCTGGGAGTTGAAGTCCCCCAGGCTTAAAGTCGCCAAGTTTGGAGGCCCTTGGCCTAGAATGCCGGTTAAGATTCTCACTCATCTTGGATAGAGTTGTCTGGAAGTTGAGTAATGGCAACTTGGGCTTCTTTTTATTATTTTTTTGGGGGGGAGGGGAGGTATTTGAAGCACTGAAGTAGCTTCTTCCCTCTCAGCAAGCGGGGATCCTCCTTAATCAACTGGTTTCTGCTACTTGGGAGCAGCAGCAGCAGCAGCAGCAAAAAAACGTTTCCAAACGACAAAGCGCAAATTAAAAAAAAAAAACAAGAAATCCGTCCAACTGCGGTGGCCTCAACTTCCAAGCTTGCTGCCCCAAGAGAAGGAGCCCCGCGGGTGAGCAACCGCAGGGGGAGGTGCGCGACCCCTCCCCACCGCCCTCCCACTATCGGAAATTTTGGGGGGGGGGGGGGGGGGAGGCCGAGGTGGCGGGCGAGAGAAGACCAATCCAGGCCTCGATTCTCATTTCAAGCAGATGGCTCCCTGGAGGGAAGGAGGGAGGGAGGGGTCGCACCTCCAGGATTTAGTAGCCCAAAGTGGCCTGGAGTCACGTCCTCGCCCGAGAAGGGGGGGGGGGGG